TTTTTGGTTACGATCACATTCTCGACATTCTCGATTGTGATCGTAACCATGAGTCAAGTAGATTTTTTTCTTCTCGACATGGTGGTTCCTTTGTATTCTTAAATAAAGCAATGAATTTGATAGTTTTATTTATTATTACATATGACTAATGTAATGTAAGAATAGTGCCTTCTACATGAAATAACTGTGTCTGTAGGTCTCGTATTGATTCTTTCTGTTGGATACGAGCAAACAATGACTAATAATTTCATGGAATATGTAAAATAACTTTTTATACATGCCAATTAAATAGACAATTCTTTTGACCATAGAACAACGTGTTTTACTTGAAATAGTATTAGTAACAGAAAATAAAAAATAAAGGAAGCTTGAAAAAATTTCAAGCTAAGTTTGAAGTTTGATTTGACGTTTTTCTCCAAATGTGAGTTAGATATAATCAATAAAATAATAAATATTCTCAACCAAAGAACGTCATTCGAAAACTGAACGATTTCTCTACACAATTGACGTTTGGTAACGACTTATACAAACGTATCACAAAACTGAACCTTTACGATGCTCTTATTTAAAATAAAATAAGAAGCTGTGCAGCAACATAAGAAAAAAAATTTAAAAAAACGTACTGATACATTCTTCGGTATTGGTAAAACCAAGTTTGTTTAAAATACGATCTTCTTCTTCACATAATATTTCATTTTTTACTAAATGATCATTACGAAATTTATGTATTTTTTCATTATAATAACTAAAAAATCCACAAATAATATAAAATATTATTTAATATAAAACATACTTTATACAAAACTGTTCAAATGAACCAATATGAACATATTCAAAGCCAATTGTATCATGAATACTGATGTATGATGTTGATGAATTAAATGATATTGATTTATTAACAAAATCAACTATTTGATTAAATAATCGAGCATAAATTGTTTTGGCTAATTTATCACGAACAGTTTGTGCTTCAAGAACTGTTAATGGACAGCTAAAAATATTTAAAATAAAAATAAAAAAAAACATAAATTTATATCTAGTTCACATACGAAATAACAGTTTTGTTAATCATTGAAATTTTTGTTGTTAATGCATTTCGAAGATCATCAATATTGACATTAAGCAATTTAGCTGTTATTGTTAATGCTTGTTCACTCATTGATATTATCTTACATTCATATTGTGTACTTTTTGGATCATTTTCGAAATTAATATTACCAAGATGAAGAATGAGAGCCAGAGTATTATAAATATTAAATTTATCTTGTTGTGAAATATCAATACAATCCATTATTCGATCATATTTAATAAAATCTGTTATATTATCCGGTCGTGGATTACGAAGTTGTTTTGATGTAAACTGAAATAAGATAAATAAAATAGTACAATATGCTTTACATGAAGAAAAAATATAAAAAACATTCAGACAAAACATATATGTTTCATTTTTATACCATTCGAAACTACTCACATTATAATCTTCATGATTCAGGTACTAGAATAGAATTTTCATAAATATATTGATATTTTTTTATAATCAAATGAATACATACATAAAAATTATGTGGTGAACTTAATTGTAAAGTATTTCGAATATCTTCTGGTGCATTAACACATAGATGATAGAATATATGATAATTTTCTTCACCTTTTGTTTGTACGCATACACGAGATTTTTCAAATAAATAATACGATAAAATACCACCAACTATTTGATACTAAAAAGAACAAATTTTTATTTTTTTTAACTAAAAAAATTTTTCAAATACTTCGTTATTAAAATGAACTTCAAAAATTTTACCAAAACGGCTTGAATTATTATGTATTGTTTTGGCTGAAAAAATAATTATTATCAAAAAAAAAAAAATGAAAATAAAACAAAACTTTTTACCATTTCCAAATGCTTCTAATAATAGATTACCTAAGAAAAAGTATGTAGAAAAGACAAAAACACGTCTTAGAACTTACATTTTATAAAACGTTCTTTCATTAAATCATTACCACCACTGTAGGATTCAGTTAAATATTGTAAAACACATTTAGATGTTTCTGTTTTACCTAAATGACAAATAAAAGATAAATAATCATCATAATTGAATGAATTATTTGACTTACCAGCACCTAATTCACCTAATATAATAATTGATTGATTTTTTTTAATCATATCATGATATGCTTTATCACCTTTAAAAAAACAATATTTCCGATTAATTAAATTTGTTCTCACTACGAATCATAACATGTCTTAAATGTAAATCATACATATCTTTTTTCAACGTTGAAAAACAAACAAAAAAATATTTTTCTTGAATTTTCTTATCACGAAATCAAAATTACCAAATATTCGATAAATTGAACTTACCAACAATAAATATGTGTGGCATAATATCACGTGATTGTTGATAGTCTTTTATTTGTTCATACACAGATAAATTATCGGCTTGTTGATGTGGATTCACAGCAATTAAAATTGACCCAACATAAGTCTATGAACAAGATACATGAAAAGTTTGTAAAAAAAATGTCACATCTATACATACATAAATATGATTAGCTGTGTAACGATCATGCAGATAATGCAATAATTCATTTTCATCACAGCCAATTAATGTACTTTTAGGTGTTGCAGATAACTCTGACATAATGAATATTTTTATAAAATGGACACTGACCACCAGATAAGATAAGATTGAAATTCTATTTACTTAAACCAATCAATTTTCTATTTAAATAACCTCGAAAATCGAATATCATTAAATAAATATATTTCAACAAAAGAAAATTTTCTGTTATTAATTAATTTATTTTCAAATAAAATTTTTATATTTTTATCAATCAATAGATGTCACCACTATCTCTCTTGACATCACGTCACATTTGATTTGAAGTTGTTATGTTGCATTACAAGACATAAATATATTTACTGGTAGCTATTTTCAATAAAAAAAAAAGAAATTTGGTTCTTTTATTAAATATTACAATGACAACAACAAATGAACCGCTTTAATACTTTAAACAAATCTATAAACACGTTTTTTATCTGAAAGAATGAATCAGAGCCCGAAACGAGGCAAGTTTTTGTCGCATCGTCTCGACTCGCTTAGAATTCCTTTTACCTCGCCTCACTTCGCCTCGTGTCTAGTTTTCAAAAGTCTTCCTCGGCTCGCCTCGCCTCGTGGTGCTTCTGCCTCGGTTCGCTTCGCCGCGCTTCCGACAAATCGTAATAACCACGATAGGGAACCAATTTCTCAATTTCTTCTATCCAAAACCGCAGGGCAAATTAATATATTAACTTCTGGCCCGTCTGTATTTCCTAGCAAGTCAACAATAGCTACCATTCATTTAATAATGCAGAAAGCTGCAGCAAAAATAGCTTGACAGAGAAACCTTATAATAACCTGCAGCTTTGTTGATGATCAGGGCAACCTAGAGAAAGCAAGTGTTAATGAATAATAAACGATTGGACTCTTTAGTTTTTACCGGAAATCTTGGGAATAATTTCCTGAGTAATTTTACTATCTCATTTAGATTTAAAGATAATACCAAACCCAGCTAACCCAACTCTACAGATCTGTATCAGACCCATCTTGAAACTTGAATCTGTTAAGAATCTGTAAGTCTTTTCCACCAGTACTGATATTTACGAAAATGATTTTTAATATTCACAAATATGTCGAAACAGCGGTTTCCAACATAATTATTTTTATTCAAGTGACTATAATCGTATTCATTCTTAGCTCGATTGTCGAGTTAATATAAAACTGTTTCAAAATCCTATTTTCAGCAGGCGTCGCAGCAACAAACACTCGATATTTTTTAAAATTTTGGTATGTAAGCTTTCGAGTATTCGAATACAAATCAATAATTACCACTCTTTGCAGAATGGTAAAAAATACATATTTCGATCTATTTTATAGAGACCAATATCAACTAGTCAATTTGGAAAGTATTATTAATAAACGATCATTGGATCGAATGTGATCCGTTTTTTGAAGATGAGCCTTCTTTACATCTGAGGGAATTGATTATCTCGACTTATGGTTGCTCTTTTTTCTATACGAAAAAATTAATGATGAAAGATATGGTGCATAATTAACCGAGGCAGCATTTTCAAAATCGCATCGCTTCGCCTCGTCCACCTCCTGCCTCGACTCGACTCGCCTCGACATATCATTTCAAAATCTTGCCTCGCCTCTCCTCGATTCGTTCCAGACGAAGCGAGGCGAAACGCCTCGACGATTCTTCGCTTCGTTTCGAGCTCTGGAATGAATGTTGAAATTTAAAGTCGTTTATTTAGGTTAACCATGCACACTTCAATTTTTACCTACACTTCAAATAATAACTATGCCCGAAAATACTCAACCTGGAAATCTTGTTGCACGTCTTCAAATAACTGGTACATTATCAGAAATTTCAACTCGACTTGTGTATAATAGTTCTGATGTTAAAACAAATGGAACGAATTATTTTATCTTCAATTTTACTGATCTTTATTTACGTTCTCATCAGTTTTTTTTTCTATTTAATTAAAACTTAATCAATTTTTTTATTTCATAGCTCTTGATTATGAATGGTGGACATCAAATGGTTATCCAAATCCATTTCGTTTTATTGTTGAATGTACAATATTATATGATAAATCAAAACATGATATCGATTTTCAACTTGATCTTATTGATGTTAATGATAATTCACCAATATTTTCTCAATCAATTTATTATTTTAATCTAACTGAAACAACATCAATTAATACAATTATATTAACAGATATTTCTGCTCATGATTCCGATTCAGGTGTATCTGAAACATTTTCTTATTATTTATTGAATAATTCATCAATCTATCCAGTAAATTAATAATAAAAAGAATGATTTTTTTTGAATATTTATTTATTTTTTAGTCCTATTTTCAATTGATAAGTTCAACAAATGCAAGTCTTGTTTTAGTTCAAACACTTGATTATAATTCAATGTTAGAAAATTTGAATTTAACAATTGTTGCACAAGTAAATATAATTTTATGAAAAAGAAGAAAAACCGAATTTTATTTATTACGATAATGAAAATCCATCATTGTCGTCTCAAGCAATTATTTCAATTCATTCAATTGATATCGCTAATTTAGATCCAAGGTTTTATATATCAACATCATATAGTCTTAATATTTCAATTAATATAGAAATCGTATGTTTCATTTTGTTGTTTTGTTTTTGTTTAAGGCCACCCCCCCCCCCCCCCCTCAAAAAAGTCACTTTTCGTCAGAATCATCGAAATTGAGATAAATGCATAGGGAAATAGCCCGCCATCTGCTCTTTCATAAACGAAAAAAATTTTTATTCGGCACGTCCTTTTTTCCAAGAATTTTTGAAGATTTCCGTCATCCCCTATTCGAAAAATAAGCTGTTTTTGAAAAATACAAAAAATCTTTTTTGTTTTTTCTCGTTTTATAGGTTTTCGATCGTATCTCCAAGATTTCTCGAAGGAGCTTCATTGTAGCCAATAACTTTTTTTTTGTTTGAAAGCTCGTGTTTAGGGCTAGCGACTCTCGTGGCCCTTTTTTTTAAATAAGCTTTTTTATTATCATATAAGAAAACACCTTTATAGAAACAGCGCCATTTTTTTAGGGGTTTTTTGAGTCATTGAACTTGTCATCCCTTTTCTTCGCTTAAAAAGTAAGAATTTAAAAAAAAGGGCCACGAGAGTCGCCAGTCCTAGACACAAGCTTTCGAACAAAAACAAGTTTAAATGTATAGAATAAAGGCCCACAGAGAAATCTTGGAGATACTGATGAGCTATTTTTGACCCTTGTTTGGTGAATATCTCCGTCAAACGTCAAGATATAGGGCTGAAAATTTTATCATAGCCATGGTTCACCAGCCCCAACATATCCTGAAAGTTTCATGCAATTCGGATGTTCCTGGCCTAAGATCGATTTTTGAGGGGGGGGGGTGGCTTTAAGGCAAGGGGGAAAAAGCAGATTTTGGCGTCCAAAATCTTTCAAAATCTTCAAGATCTTTCAAAATTTTTCAAAGTCTTTTGATTGTTTTTAATAT